TGGTTCTCTAATGTCCTTCGGGGAAGAAAACTGCTGTCATTACTTGGTTTGTCCTGCCTGTAACTCCAGATCCACCACAATGTGGTTGACTCTTGACTACCCTCTGGGCAAATAGGAGTGGGCAATAAATGCTCATCTGGCCAGGGTTGACCACATCCTGTGAACGAGAAGAGATACTTTTTCTCCCAACTCATCTAGCACGATCTTCCAGCTTCCACACTAATGTGTTCCCCCATATTAATATAGAAACATAGAAAACAGGGGCAGGAGTAGGCCATTCGGCCCTTCAAGCCTGCACCACCATTCGATATGATCATGGCTGATCATGCAATCACAGTGTCCCATTCCCACCCTCTCCCCAGACCCTTTGATCTCTTTAGCCGCAAGGGCCACGTCCAGTTCCCTCTTGAATATATCTAATGAACTGGCCCCAACGGCTTCATGTGGGAGAGAATTCCTCAGGTTCACAACTCTCTGAGTAAAGAAATTCTTCCTCATCTCAGTCCTGAATGGCTCGCCACATATATTTAGACTGTGACTGCTAGTTCTGGACTTTCCCAACATCAGGAACATTCTTCTCCCATCTAGCCTGTCCTGTCCCATTAGGATTTTATATTTCTATGAGATTCCCCTCATTCTTCTAAATTCCAGTGAGTACAAGCCCAGTCAATCCAGTCTTTCCTCATATATCAGTCCTGCCATCCCGGGAATCAGACTGGTGAACCTTTGCTGGATTCTCTCAATAGCAAGAATGTCCTTCCTCAGACTGGGAGACCAAAACTGCACACAATACTCAAGGTGTGGCCTCACCAAGGCGCTGTATAACTGCAGCAAGACATCCCTACTCCGATACTCAAATCCTCTCACTATAAAGGTCAGAATGCCATTAGCTTTCTTCACTGCCTGCTGCATCTGCATGCTAACCTTCACCAACTGTTCCACCATGACACCCAGGTCTCACTGCACCTCACCTTTTCCTAAAATTCAGATAATAATCTGCCTTTCTGTTTTTGCCACCAAAGTGGATAACCTCACACTTATCCACATTATGTTGCATTTGCCAAGTGTTTGTCCACTCAGCCAGTCTGTCCAAGTCACACTGCAGCCTCTTAGCATCCTCCTCACAGCATACACTGTCACCCAGCTTAGTGTCATTAGTAAATTTGGAGATATGGCATTCAGTTCCTTCATCCAATTCATTAATGTATATTGTGAACAGCTGGGGTCCCAGCACTGAACCCTGCGGTACCCCACTCGTCACTGCCTGCCACTCTGAAAAGGACCTGCTTATTCCAACTCTCTGCTTCCTGTCTGCCAACCAGTTCTTTATCCATGTTAATACATTACCTTCAATATCATAAGCTTTAATTTCCTTACTAATCTCTTGTGTGGAACCTTGTCAAAAGCCTTTTGAAAGTCCCAATACACAACTACTACTGATCTGCCCTGTTTGTCAAGCACAGTTTCCCTTCAGTAAAATTCTGTCACCACTTTCCAAATGCTCAGTTATTACATCCTTAAGAATTGATTCCAGCATTTCTTCCCCACCACTGACGTCAAGCTAACCGACCTATAATTTCCCATTTTCTCTCCTTCCGTTTTTAAAGAGTGGGGTTACATTAGCTACCCTCCAGTCCATTGGAACGCTTCCATTATGAGTTTATTTTATTTTCTGCTATAATCAATGATGTGGCACCTTATTATACCTTCTCGAAATCAAAGGACACTATGTCTGAGCACCTCTTATCCACCATACACAATTGCTTCAAAGAACTCCAGTAACAGAAAAAACAGACTTTCTCCTGCAAGTGACTTGTTTGTTCTCCTCATTGGAATTCTTTACGTCCCCTTTGCTGTTTGTGTACTTTCTCTTTGTGTCTGCCTCTGTTCTCTGTTCACCTTCACCCTCTTGGCTGTAGTTTTCCTTTGTGTCTTGCGGCCATGTGGATTCTTTCTCAGTTTCCTTCCTGTTGGTACTGCTCCCAGTATTTTTATCATTTCGGAAAATAGGAATTAGGAGCGGGAGTAGGCAATTCAGCCCTTTGAGCCTGCTCCACCATTTAGTATGATCATAGCTGATCTTATCCCAGTCTCAACTCCGCTCTCCTGCCTGCTCCCCATAGCCCTTTATCCCGCTTTTCATCGGAAACATATCTATATCTTTTTTGAATCTGTTGATTAATTCTGCCTCCACTGCAGCTGGGAGCAGTGATTTCCACAGATTCACAACCCTCTGCGAAATAGTTTCTCCTCATCTCAGTTTTAAACCTACCTCCTCTCACTCTGTATCTATGACCTTTGATCCTCTTTGGCATTTTATCTACTTCAATGAGATTCAACCGGTTCCACCACCCCCCTCCTTCTTCTGAACTCCAGCAAGTACAAGCCCAAGCTATTCAACTGCTCCTCATTTAACAGCCCTTTCATCCCTGGAATCAATCTGGGGAACCTCCTCTGAACTGCTTCTAGTGCCACCAGATCCTTCCCAAAGTACAGAGACCAAAACTAGACACGATACTCCAGGTTTGGTCTCACCGACGGCTGATATAAGTGTTACAGCAGTTCTTTACTTTTGCAATAAATGACAGGATTCCATTTTGCCTTCCTTATTATATGCTGCACCTGCATATCCACCTTCTGTGATTCATGCACAAGGGCACCCAGATCCCTCTGCACAGACGCACTTTGAATCTGATTTCCATTTAGATAATAATTTGCACTTTTATTTCTCCAACCAAATGGACAACCTCACACTTATCCACATTAAACTCCATCTGCCAGATTCTGGCCCATTCTCCCAGCCTATCAATATCCATCTGTAAACTCTTTAATCTCAGCCTGCTTTCCCATTTATTTTGGTATAATCTGTCATGTTGGCTATGTTACACTTTGTCCCTGCTTGCAGATCATTTATGTAGAGTGCAAATAGTTGAGGTCCAAGAACTGAACCCTGCGCACCCCATTGGTTACAGTTCGCTGTCCAGCGAAGAAATCATTTATCCCAACCCTCTATTTTCTGTCAATCAGCCAGTCCTCTATCCAAGCCAATATTCTACCCTTAACCCCCAGGATCTAACCTTCTGGATCAGTCTTTTATGCACCACCTTGTCAAAATGCCTTCTGGAAGTCTAGATATACACACCCACCGGTTCCCCATTATCCACCTGGCAAGTTACATCCTCAAGAACTCCAGCAAGTTTGTCAAGCACGACTTACCCTTCATGAAACTGTGCTGACACTGGTGAATTTCTTATTATTAAATTACAGCTAATCCCTTTTGCAATTGATGAAAATGCTTAAAAGTTCTTTTCATACATTCTTCAATATGTTTGTAGGTTCCACAAATCTTTTAAAGAAATGAAAGCTTTCTCTTACATAAAAACCATAAGAAAACTGAAGATGTTGTAACTCAGAGACAAAAATAGGAATTGCTGGAAAGCTTAAGCAGGTATGGCAGTATGTGTGGAGAGAAATCGGAGTTAACGTTTCAGGTCAAGTGACCCTTCCTCACTCGACCTGAAACGTTAACTCTGATTTCTCACCACAGTTGCCCCTTAGGTCACTTTTAAATCTTTCCCCTCTCACCTTAAACCTATGGCCTCTAGTTTCGGACTTGCCCACTCCAGCAAAAAGACCTTGTCTATTTATCCTATACATGCCCCTCATGATTTTATAAACCTCTATAACGTCACCCTTCAGCCTCCGATGCTCCAGGGGAAATAAACCCAGTGTATTCAGTCTCTCACTGTAGCTCAAACCCTCCAACCCTGGAAACACCCTTGTTAATCTTTTCTGAACCCTTTCAGATTTCACAACATCCTCCTATAGCAGGGAGACCAGAATTGCATGCAGTGTTCCAATAGGGGCCTAACTAATGTACTGTACAGCTGCAGCATGACCTCCCAACTCCTATACTCAATTCACTGACCATTAAACACAAGCATGCCAAGCGCTTTCTTTACCATCCTGTCTACCTATGATTTCACTTTCAATAAATTATGAACCTGCACTCCAAGGTCTCTTTGTTCAGCAATGCTCACTAGGACCTGATCTTGAACTGTACAAGTCCTGCCCTGACTTGCCTTTCCAAAATGCAACACATCATATTTATCGAAATTAAACTCCATCTACCACCCCTAGGCCCATCGGTACATCTGATCAAGATCCCATTGTACTCTGAGGTTACTTACTTCACTGTCCACTACATTTCCATTTTTGGTGTCATCTGCAAACTTACTAACCATACCTCCTATGTTCAGATCTAAATCATTTTATATAAATGATGAAAAGCAGTGGACCCAGTACCAATCCTTGTGGCACACTGCTGGTCACAGGGCTCCAATCTGAAAAGCAACCCTACACCACCACCCTCTGTCTTCTACCTTTGAGCCAGTTCTGTATCCAAATAGCAAAGGAAATTGGATCAGCAATAAGCAATAACCTTTTAATACTAATGGAATAAACTGTAAAACTACTACGACAGATTACTCTGCTGTGATTCTTTTTGCTGGTCAGGGAGGAGGAGAGAACAGACCTGGGCAGGGAGACATGAAGGTTAGTGGGAGCTTCTGATTGATGCAGCATTGTAGAAATACATGGAAGTTATAATATGGAATCAGGCCTTTCCCTGTCTAATCCATGTTGGCATTTACCTTCACATGAAAGATTAGTTCCCATCACATTTGTTTTCCTGTTTCTTTCCAATCCAGCATTTTAAATGTACAGGGGGAAAAGATGTAAATCAATAGACCACTTCCAAGAACTGTTCACTACACTGTGGATGAGACCTGAAACTGGTTGTAGATAAGATGTGCTTGGTCTTCCAGGCACAGAGCATTAAATGTTGAGCAGAAGAGTTCTGAATCTCCTTTACAGTGCCTGTTGCCCACAGATTACATTATTGACAATTAAATTAAGCAGATTCAGAAGAAACTAATTAAACCAATGTACACTAAATGTTTTATCCATAAGCGATAAACTCTCTGCCCTCTTTTTGACAGACATCCATACTTGGGAGTGTCTTTGGAGATTATTATGATCAGCAACTCACAAACAGACAAGCCAACTCCCTGTCTCATCAGGTAAGGACCCACACCAGTTCCTTGTCACCACAGGAAGGTCAGATGAACGACTTGTCATTTGCAAAGTTTTAGAAATTTGGGAGGTGATGGCCTAGTGGTATTATCATCACTAGACTATAAATCTAGAAACTCGGCTAATATTCTGGGGATAGTAGGAACTGCAGATGCTGGAGAATCTGAGATAACAAGTGCAGAGCTGGATGAACACAGCAGGCCAAGCAGCATCAGAGGAGCAGGAAAGCTGACATTTCGGTTCAGAAATGATTTCTGAAGAAGGATCTAGGCCCGAAACGTCAGCTTTCGTGCTTCTCTGATGCTGCTTGGCCTGCTGCGTTCATCCAACTCTACACCTTGTTATCTCCAGTATTCTGGGGATCCAGGTTTGAATGCCACCACGGCAGATGGTGGATTTGAATTCAGTAAGAAAATCTGGAATTAAAAATCCACTGATCATGAAACCATTGATTGTCAAAAAAATCCATCTGGTCACGAATGTCCTTCAGGGAGGGAAATCTGTCATCCTCACCTGGTCTGGCCAACATGTGACTCCAGACACACAGCAATCTGGTTGACCTCACTTGCCCTCTGAAATGACCTAGCAAGCTATTCGATTGTATCAATCACTACAAAGTCTCAAAGAAATGAAACCAGACAGTCCACCTGTCATTGACCTAGGCACCAGAAAAGACAATGATAGAAACAGTCCTGTCGACCCTCTTTACCAATATCTGGGGGCTTGTGCCAAAATTGGGAGAGCTGTCTCACAGACTTGTCAAGCAATAGCCTGACCTAATCGTACTCACGGAATCATACCTTACAATGCCCCAGACACCACTATCACCATCCCCATGCCACCGGCAGGACAGACCAGCAGAGGTGGTGGCACAGTGGTATACAGTCAGGAGGGAATTGCCCTGGGAGTCCTCAGTATTGACACTGGATCCCATGATGTCTCACGGCTTCAGGTTAGACATGGGGAAGGAAATCTCCTGCTCGTTACCACATATCGTTCTCCCGTGGCTGATGAATCGGTGCTCCTCCACATTGAACAACACTTGGAGGAAGCACTGAGAATGGTAAGGATACAAAATGTACTCTAGGTGGGGGACTTCAATGTCCACCACCAACAATGGCTCAGCAGCAGTACTACTGATCGAGCTGGTCAAACATAAACTGTTAGACTGGGCAAAGGACATAGCTGCTAGACTGGGTCTGCAGCTGGTGGTGAGGAACCAACGGAGTGAAGAACATACTTAAGCTCATCCTTAACATTCTGCTGGCTGCAGATACATCCATACCTGACAGTATCGGGGAGAATGACCACCACACAGTCTTGGTGGAGACAAAGTCCTGCTTTTACACTGAAAATAACTTTCATCGTGCTGTATGGCACTGTCACCATGCTAAATGGGACAGACTTTGCACAGATCTAGCCACTCAAGACTGGGTGTCCATGAGGCACTTTGGGCCATCGGTAGCAGCAGAATTGTATTCTAGCATAACTGTAACCTCATGGCCTGGCGTATCCCTCATTCAACCATTACCATCAAGCCAGGGGATCAGCCCTGGTTCAATGGAGAATGCAGGAGGGCATGCCAAGAGCAGCATCAGACATAGCTGAAAATGAGGTGTCAACCTGGTGAAGCTACCAAGTAGCACTACTTACATTCAAAACAGCCTAAGCAGCAACTGAGTTAGGCCATCCCACAATCAATGGATCATATCTAAGCTCTGCAGTCCTGCCACATACAGTCGTGAATGGTGGTAGACAATTAAACTCATTGGAGGAGGAGGCTCCACAAATAGGAAGAGCACAGCACAGTAGTGCCAAAGATAAGGCTGAAGTATTCGCAACAATCTTCATCCAGAAGTGCTGAGTGGATGATCCATCTTGGTCACCTGCAGTGGTCCCCAGCATCACAGATGCCAACTCAGTTCAATCCACATGATATGAAGAAATGGTTGGAGACACTGGATACTGCAAAGGCTATGAACCCTGACAACATTCTGGCAATAGTACTGAAGACATGTGCTCCAGAACTTGCCGCTCCCCTAGCCAAGCTGTTCCAGTACAGTAACAACACTGACAGCCACCTGACAATGTGTGAAATTGTCCACATATGTCCTGTACATAAAAAGCAGGACAAATCCACCCTGGCTAATTACTGCCCCAACATTCTACTCTCGATCATCAGTAAAGTGATGAAGGTATCATCGCCAGTGCTATCAAGCAGCATCTGCTCAGTGGCATCTTACTCAGTGATGCCCAGTTTGGGTTCCGCCAGGGCCACTCAGCTCCTGACCTTATTATAGCCTTGGTTCAAACATGGACAAAAGAGCTGAATTCTAGAGGCAGTGTGAGAGTGACAGCCTTTGACATCGTGTGCCATCAAAGAGCCCTAGCACAACTGAAATCAGTGGTATTGGGGGCAAACTCTCGCTGATTGGGAGAAGTACCGGGCACAGAGGAAGATGGTCGTGGTTGTTGGAGGTCAGTCATCTCAGCTCCAGGGCATCTCTGCAGGAGTTCTTCAGGATAGTGTCCTGGGCCCAACCATCTTCAGCTGCTTCATCAATGACCTTCCCTCCATCATAAGGTCGGAAATGGGGATGTTCATTGATGATTGCAGTGTTCAGCACCATTCGCGACTCCTCAGATACAAAGCAGCCCATGTTAAAATGCAACAAGATCTGGACAATAACTAACCTTGCGCTGACAAGTGGCAAGTAACATTCATGCCACACAAATGCCAGGCTGCAACCATCACCAATAAGAGATAATCTAATCACCACCCCTTGACATTCAATGATGTTACCATCACTGAATCCCCCACTGTCAATATCCTGGGGGTTGCCATTGACCAGAAACTCAACTCGTTAGACCCTGTATTTATATTTGCTACACAAACACAATGGCTACAACAGCAGGTGCGAGGCTAAGAAACCTGCAGTGAGCAACTCATTTCCTGACTCCTCAAAGCCTGTCCACCATCTACAAGGGACAAATCAGGAGTGTGATGGAATATTCCCCACTTGCCTGGATGGGTAGAGCCCTAACAACACTCAAGAAGCTTGACACCATCCATGTATCCAATCTGCTTGATTGGAACCATATCCACAAGCATTCATTCCCTCCACCACTGACATCCAGTAGCAACAGTATGTGCTGCCTACAAGATACACTGCAGAAATTCACCAAGGATCCTCATACAGCACCTCCCAAACCCATAACCACTTGCATTTAGAAGGACAAGGGCAGCAGATACATGGGAACACCACCCACTGCAAGTTCCCCTTCAAGCCATTTACCATCCTGTCTTGGAAATCTATCACCATTCCTTCAGGGTCTCTGGGTCAAAATCCTGGAACTTCTTCCCTAATGGCATTGTGGGTCAACCCATAGCACATGGACTGCAGCAGTTCAAGAAGGCAACTCACCACCACCTTCTCCAGGGTAATTAGAAATGGGCAAGAAATGCTGGCCAACCAGCAACACCCGCATCCCACAAATGAAAACAAAATTGACTTATTGCTTGAAACTTTTGTTTTCTAGCTTTGTCCTTCAGTTTGAATATCACTGAAAAGAGAAGCATGTTGCCAAAGTATGTCCTCTTCCACTCATCAGGATAAATGCAAGAATGCCAAATTTCAAACAATCAGAACAATTTATATTAAAGGAGAAATGGGTGCTGATTGGAGAAAGCCGTGGGAGCAATAACTTCTAATAATTCAAAATAATTCTAGGTTTGAATGTATTCCTTTTAAGAGTATGGTGTCCAGCACATGAAATAGTAAGTATAAATAAGCTCTGTTACTTTTTTTATTCACTCATAAGACGTCGACATTGCTGGCTAGGGCAGCATTTTTTGCCCACCACATGATGTTGTTCCCATGTATCTGCTGCCCTTCTCCATCTAGTTGGAAGTGGTCTTGGGCTGTCTACGGATCTTTGCAGTGCATCTTGTAGATAGCACACACTGCTGCTACTGAGCATCAGTAGTGGAGAGAATGGATGAATGTGAGTTTAAATAAAAGCAAAAATCTGCAAATGGTGGAAATAATGAAAAAAAGCACAGAAAATCCTGGAGAAACTCAGCAGGTCTGGCAGCATCTGTAGAGAGAAAGTTAACATTTTGTCTGATGTGACCGTCCATCAGAACAGTCATTCGGACTCAAAACATTAACTCTGTTTCTCTCTGCAGACCTGAATATCTCCAGTATTTTCTCTGTTTGTTTTACATTACAAGCATCACTGATTATGTTAAATTGGTTGTCACGCAGCTATTAGTGTGACATGACTGGTGCTTTCCACTAACGGATGCTGCCTTTAACACAAAAAAATGTTCTGATCAAATCAAACAGCATATTTGTAAGGCACAGCATGGACCATAAGCATAAGCACAAAACTCAAAATGTCTATACCACATGTGATTCTGCGATTTGTAGGCACAGAATGAAGAACTGAATGCACTAATGGTTTCCTTCACAATCAAATTAACATAATCACTCAATGTGGCTCATTCGCCCTTCAAGCATCACATACTTGTATGCTAGAACATATTCTGTGCAAATAAAAGGAATACGTTAAACCATGTGCCTTCTTTTTTACTTGCCCGAGAGCTCAGGGAGCCTATTATTCCCCATTGCTTTCTCCATTGCCATCATTTTAGCAAATCAGAATCAATTTGCCTATTAATCTGGACTTTTTCTCTTCTTTGGTATAAATTGTTGTGATTGTTTATAATTTGACATTCTTGCATTTATCCTGATGAGTGTAAGATAAAAACTTCAGCAACACGTCTTTCTCTTCATTAGTATTTAATCCTTCAATTTTGTTTTGTGTTCACATTTATTTATTTCATTTAATGTTGTCATTAGTTACCACCGAACTTCAGTGTATGACGTATGGGTGTGTTTCGCTGTTATAATCTTGCTAATGCCGGATTGATCTGAAGCAAGAGTTACCCAGGCCCAAGGTGGGCAGTCTGAGACCACAAGGGCTGTTGTCATGGGTATGGTTTGCTTTTTCTCTCTCTCTCTCTCTCTCACACATTCCAGGACTAGGGAATGTCCCCACCCAGGAGATTGGGACTGCTGCCCCAGAAAATTGATTCTGAGCAAATTTCTAACTGTTAAATTCTTTATTATAGCTTGAACAATTCAATATGATTGAGAGCCCGAACAGCACCAACAGCTTGTACAGCCAAATCTCCACTTTGAACTACTCACAGGCGGCAATGATGGGGCTGACAGGGAGCCATGGAAGTCTGCAGGATTCACAGCTCAGTTACACCAATCACGGAAATATCCCCAACATCATTCTAACCGGTGAGTAGCGCTCAGCTCCATTGGAGGAAGCCTTTCCTCATACTTCCTATCCCAGCTGCTCATTATACAATCATGGAGCAAGAGTCATAGTTGGTGCAAGAACTTTGCATATATGACATTGACACAGTGGGCCAAATTATAATCTCCTGTGATTTGCATCTCTGCAGATCACATTCTGAGAATAACCAATGGGAAAATGGAATGTCACATTGAAACCGTATGGACTGTTTGGAGTTGAGAGACACTACTGAAGCAATAGAGAGAGAGAGAGAGCAGGATCCCCATGTTCCAGTCATGCCATTTCACTATGTTAACCCCTGCCATTCTGCTACAATCATTCCTGATCTCTATTCTCCAGTATAAATCCTACTCACTGGTATAAAGTCTTGCTGCACCAGTACATGATACGGCAGCAGCTTTTTCTTGCATTATAATCTGCTGTTAATGGAGCAATGCATTCAAAGGAATATAGAGAAGGGCGGGATTGGCAGTCCACTTTCTGAATACAGAATTTTTTGGATAAGACAAGGGAATTTAAAAAATGCAGGGCTTAATGTGTTTACAATGTTGATTAATGAATCCAAGGAATGATTATGTGAAAGATCAAGTGAAGCAAGACAGAAAAGACTGGAAATACTAAGCAGGTCTGGCAACCTCTGTGGAGCAAGGAACAAAGTTAATGTTTTAGTTTGACGCATTGTTAAAACTGAAAAGTGTTTGAGGTGATAGGTTTTAAATAAGTGCGAAGACAAGGAGAGGGAGATGCAGGAGAACAAAAGGGAAGACCTACCATTGGTGGAAAGTAGGAATAGTTAAATGACAAGAAATGATGGTATAAGGCAAAGGAGAGTGATAAGGAGTAGGCATGTCTAGAGGAGATATTAAAGGGCAAAACAGAATTGTTACTTTTGTCTTTGGCAACTATTAGTTATGGTAGAAGTTAAGATTAGAAATTGTAAAATCAAGGTAGAGTCTAGAAAGCTGTTAAGCACCGACTGAAAAGATATATTGTTCTTCTAACCTAGTTTGAGCTTCTTTGGAACACTGTTGGAGGCTGAGTGCAAAGTTCTTCATTGAATCATAGAATAGAATCATAGAATCCCTACAGTTTGGAAGCAGGCCATTCGGCCCATCAAATCCGCTGTGAAGAGCATCCCACTCAAACCAATTGCGCCCCCCCCCGCCGCCATCCTGTAACCCTGAATTTCCCATGGCTAATCCATCTAGTCTGCACATCTTTGTACTGTGAAAGGAAACTGGAGCCCCCGGAGGAAACCCATTCGGACACAGCGAGGATGTGCAAATTCCACGCAGACAGTCGCCTAAGGGTGGAATTGAACCCGGGTCCCTGATGCTGTGAGGCAGCAGTGCTAGCCACTGCACCGCCCTGCCCGTTGATTAATATATGTACTTCGTTACAGGGAGCCTAATGAATGATCCAGATGAACTGAGGACACAGCTGGAAAGTATGACGCCTTGGCTATTACTGAGACTTAACTTAAAGAAGGGCAGGCATAGCAGCTAAACATACTTAATTCATACGCTTTTCAAGTACAATCGAAGGGGGGATACCTTTATTAAAAGAAAAAGATACGGGCAGTTCGTAATACTGGTTAATCACATTTGATGAGGTGCCCATCCTTCTGCTTCAACAATCATGATAAGGCCATTCTCCCACTTTCCATTTAACTCTGCAAATTATTTCTATTTAAATAATCTAATGCCCTCTTGGACTTCTCAATGTAACCTGCCTCGATCGCATTTACAAGGCGGTGCATTCCAGACCCAGTCCACTGGTTGCATGAAAAACTTTTCTTTGACATTGCATTTACTACCTTTTCAAACCACTTCAAACCTGTGCCGTCTCATCCTCAATCCTACGAGTGCAAACAGTTTCGAGTAAATAAACAATCAACAGCAGAGAAAAGGAAAAATACACAAACAATCATCAATGAGGTCATGTTGGTTGAACTGAGATTAAAAACATAGAACAGTACAGCACAGTACAGGCCCTTCGGCCCACGATGTTGTGCCGAACTTTTAGCCTAAACCTAAGGTCTATCTAACTTCCACCCCTACCTTACACTATCATCCATATGCCTATCTAACAGCCGCTTAAATGCCCCGAATGAGGCCGACTCCACTATCCTCTCCAGCAATGCATTCCATGCCCCTACCAGGCTGAGTAAACAACCTACCTCTGACGTCTCCCGTATATCTACCTCCACTCACGTTAAAACTATGCCCCCTCGTAATAGCTACCTCCACCCTAGGAAAAAGTCTCTGGCTGTCCACACTATCTATACCTCTGATCGTTTTGTACACCTCTATCAAGTCACCTCTTATCCTTCATTGTTCTAAAGAGAAAAGCCCTAGCTCTCTCAACCGTTCCTTGTAAGACCTTCCCTCCATTCCAGGCAACATCCTGGTAAATCTCCTCTGCACCTTTTCCAATGCTTCCACATCTTTATTGTAATGAGGCGACCAGAACTGGACACAATACTCCAGATGTGGCCGAACCAGGCTTTTGTACAGCTGGAGCATAACTTCACGGCTCTTGAACTCCATCCCTCTATTAATGAAAGCTAACCCACCATACGCCTTCTTAACAACTCTGTCCACCTGGGTGGCAGCTTTCAGGGAACTATGGACATGAACCCCAAGATCCCTCTACTCCTCCACACTGCCAAGAATCTTTCCATTAACCCTGTATTCTGCTTTCAAGTTTGTCCTTCCAAAATGAATCACCTCACATTTTTCAGGGTTAAACTCCATCTGCCACTTCTCAGCGCAGCTCTGCATCCTATCAATGTCCCTTTGTAACCTAGAACAGCTCTCCGCACTACCCACAACTCGACCCACCTTCGCATCATCTGCGAACTTACTAATCCAACCTTCCACTCCTTCATCCAAATCATTTACAAAAATCACAAATAGAAGAGGACCCAGAACAGATCCTTGTGGTACACCACTTGTAACTGAGCACCATGTTGAATATTTTCCGTCCACTACCACCCTTTGTCTTCTAAGGGTCAGCCAATTCTGAATCCAATCTGCCATATTTCCCCCTATCCCATGCCTTCTTACTTGCTGCATGAGCGTACCATGGGGACCCTTATCAAACGCCTTATTTAAATCCATGTATACCACATCCACTGCTCTACCTTCATCCACGTGTTTGGTCATCTCTTCAAAGAATTCAATAAGGTTTGTGAGGCATGATCTACCCCTCACAAATCCATGCTGACTATCACGAATCAAACTGTGCCTTTCCAAGTGATCATAAATCCTATCTCTCGGAGCCCTTTCCAATAATTTGCCCACCACTGACGTAAGACTAACTGGCCTGTAATTTCCGGGGTTATCCCTATTCCCTTTTTTTGAACAAAGGAAATGATGTTTGCCTCTCTCCAATCTTTGGCACTATACCCATGGACAGTGAGGACGAAAAGATCATCACCAAAGGCCCTGCGATTTCTTCCCTCGCTTCCCATTGAATCCTAGGATAAATCCCATCAGGCCCAGGGGACTTACCTATCTTCAAGTTCCTCAAAATTCCTAGTACATCTTCCTTACTAACATCCACCTCCTCTAGCCTACCAGCCTGTTTCACACTGTCCTCCCCTACAACTAGGTCCATCTCGGTTGTGAATACCGAAGAAAAGTATTCATTAAGGACCTCTCCTATCTCTTTAGGCTCCGTGCACAAATTCCCTTTACAATCCTTGATCGGCCCTACCCTTTGGTCATTCTCTTATTCCTCACGTACGTGTAAAAAGCCTTGGAGTTTTCCTTGATCCTATCTGCCAAGGTTTTCTCATGCCCCCTAATAGCTCTCGTAAGCCCTTTCTTCAGCTCCTTCCTGGCTAACTTGTATCCCTCTAGAGCCTTTTCCGTTCCTTGTTTCCTCAACCTTATATAAGCATCCTTCTTCCTCTTAACCAGTCATTCGACCTCTCTTGAGAACCAAGGCTCCCTCACTCAACCACATCTTCCCTGCCTGCTAGGGACAAACATTTCAAGCACACACAGTATGCATTCCTTAAACAATCTCCACATTTCAATTGTGCTCTTCCCTAACAGCATCTGCTCCCATTTTATGTTACCCAGTTGTTGCCTAACAGAATTGTAATTACCCTTCGCCCAATTATAAACCTTACCGTGCTGTATGTACCTATCCTTTTCCATGACTGTTGTAAAGGTAACAGAGTTATGATCGTTACCGCCAAAATGCTCTCCTACCAACACGTCTGATACTTGGCCTGGTTCATTGCCAAGCACCAAATCCAAAGTGGCCTCTCCTTGTACTGTGTCAGGAATCCTTCCTGAACACACTGGGCAAAATCGGCTCCATCTAAACTATTACAACTAAAAAGTTTCCAATCAATATTTGGAAAGTTGAAGTCACCCATGACTACAACCCTGTGCCTTCTGCACCTTTCCAGTATCTGCCTCCCAATCCGCTCCTCCACTTCTCTGCAACTATTAGGGGGTCTGTTTTTAAAAAAAAAAACCCCAACAAAGTGACTGCTCTTTTCTTGTTCCTGACCTCAACCCAAACTGACTCTGTAGACATAAGTGAACAGACCAAGAGCATGCCATAGCCCATAAACAGATAGGTGTTTTACAAGAGCAAACATGTAGGCAAATTGCTGAGAACTTCTAAACAATAGAACACTAATTATAGAAGATTTCAATTATTCTAATATTAACTGGGATAAAATTAGTGTAAAAGTTACAGAGGAAACAGAATTCATAAAATATATTCCGTTATAACTATTTAAGCCAGTACATTACAAGTGAAGAGCTACTTCTGGATCAAGTTAGTATATAGAAGCTGAGAAGCTGGAATGGGTATCTCAGAGTATTGGTGACAGTAATCATAACCTGTTTAGATTTGGCACTGTTATGCAAAAGGGCAAAAGTATCCCAAGAATAAAAATGGTACATCAGAGAGAGACTGATTTTACTAAGATGCAAAATTTATCTTAAGTGAAATG